GCCCCCCGCCAGCACTCCTCACGTGCACAGCACACGGCCGGCGTGGCGCTGTGCCGTCAGGCCTCCAGGCTGGTGCACGCAGAGAGGTGAGATCGTGTTAACTGGGGCACACCTGTCTCTCATGCACAGTCAAAACAAAAGCCACAGTCACAACCTGCCCCCGACTTTTCACACGCATCCTCTGGAGCCTGCACGTTCCGGAGGCAGAAGCCCACTGAGCGCTGCTGCTGGCGTGTGGGGGAGCCCGCCGGAGGCTGCGGAGCTGAGAAGCCTGGATTTGTCTCTGCTCCTCTGCAGCTCCGGGCGGACACACGTGAGGGCCAAGCCGTGGCGGTCAGCCTCCAGGACCGCCGCCCCGGTCACCCCGTGCAGGAGGCTGCTACAGGGCAAAGCTCGGGGTGTGGGGAGTCACGAAGAATGAGTCACAGTCCCAGCCTGGAGACTCCCTGTCTGGGTGCTCCTGGGGGCTGAGACGGGGGTGCTCGTGTGCCCAACGGGGGTGAAAATCCCTGTTCTGCCTGCTCCCCACAGTCGGGTGAGACAGCGCGCGGGAAGCCCGCTGGAAACAGTGAAGCCCCAAACGCACACCGTCCGAAGAAGTCAGAACTAAGGTTCAGGTCAGTAAGCACATTATACATTAGAGGCGTAACTACCAAACTGTCGTGGAACTGAGCCAAACCTGCATCATGTTTTAAAAGAGGGTCTTACTCTGTCGCTCGGGCTGAAATATAGTGGAAGGATCACAGCTCACTGCAGCCTCCAATGCCTGGGCTCAAATGATCCTCCCGTCTCAGCCTCCTGAGTAGCCGGGACTACAGGCACATCACCATGACCAGCTATTTTTAGTTTTTTGTTTTTTTTTTAGAGATGGGGTCTCGCTATGTTTTCCAGGCTGGTCTTTAACTTCTGTCCTCAAGTGATCCTTCAGCCTTGGCCTCCCAAACTACGGGGATTATAGGCGTGAGCCACCACGTCCAGCCTGAACTTGTATCACTGAATCAACCAATCCACCAGGGTCACCATCTGACTCTGCTGTTAGTTATCCCCTGTCTAATGACCGTCACCAGGTGACAAGGACTCAGTTGGCCCCATTCACAAGCATCAACTGCCCGAGCAGCCACTTCTTCACTGTGTTGCTCATTCCTTGAATCATGGACGTATTTCATTTAATGTCCATGAATGGGATTTACCAACTAAATATTCACTCCACAATAAAACGGTGGTGCCACACACCACAGAAACACACACACAGAAACAACTTCCGAGGGCTCAAACAAGGCTGTGTAGAAAAGAGCTTGCTAATTGAAAACATTTAAAAAATATTTTGTACCATCTTACCTATTCCATGTGTATTCAAGGTCTGCTAATTTCAACATCCAAAAAAGCTACAAAAAGCACTAGCGTGAAAGAAAAAAAATGTCCATTTTTTTGGATCTTAAACGAAGTGGACTTCATTTAAGATCTAAAAACCCTTTTACTCATTAAAGACATACAGTGCACCCTTGAAAGACATGTGTTTGAACTGTGCAGGTGCACGTATATTCAGATTTTTTTTCAACCAAATGCAGGCTGACAATACAGTATCCGCAGGATATAAAACCCGCATGTACAGAGAGCTGATTCTGTTTACACCGGTTCTACAGGGCTGACTGCGGGACTTGAGTATGTGCAGATTTCAGCATTTGGGGGGCAGGTGGGGGTTGCAGTCCTGGAACCGACGCACAATAGGTAGAAAATGAAAAGGCAAGTCACAGACTGGGAAAAATATTTGCAACACATATCTGACAAAGTACTTATAAGCGGACTATCTAAAGAACTCTTACAAATCAGTAAGGGAAAGATAAACATCCCAGTTAAATATAGACAAAAACTGAAAGAACCTAAACATATAGCAAATAAGCATATAAAAAGTGTTCAATAACACTAGTCACCAGAAAAATGCAAATTATTCCCACAATAAGATGCCACTTCAAACCCATTAGGATGGCTGTAATTAAAGAGGCTGATGTTATTAAATGTCGATGAGAAAAGGGAGCAACTGGAACTCTCCTATGCTGCTGGCAAGAGCATGAAATGGGACGGCCGTTTGGAGACCCGTGTGGCACTTTTTCATAAAACTAAACACACTCTTCCCATGTGACCCAGCAGTTTTCCACCTGGAGAAATGGAAACTACGTCCGCAGAGAATCGTACAAAACCTTCCCTGCCCCTTTGTTTGTATTAGCAATCCACACGCCCATCGTCCGGAGAACGGGCAAGCTGCGGTATAAACGGGGAACCGGAAGTGTTCTCAGCAATGCAAATTCACAAACTACTGGTGCCCGCAGTAAAACAGCCGACAGCACAGGAGTTAGGTTGGGTGAAAGAAGTCAGGCCCAGGAGAACAAGCTGTGGGGTCCCATCTAGGTGAAATCCAACAACAGGCAAAGCTGATCTATGGTGACAACAATCAGAATCGTGCCTGCCTCTGGCTGGGAGGCAGCCTGAGAGAACTTCCCGGGGTGAGGAAAATGTTTTGTATAGCTCAACTGCATTGGAGACACAGGCGTGTACATTTGTCAAAATGGATTATTCTTGTAATCTGTGCATTCTACTGTATGTGGATCGTACATCTATAAAAGATGTTAATAAAAAAGGTGGTGTTAAGTCATAATCTTAGAAAGCCCAGGGTGAATAGGAACCGCTCTGGAGCCCTCCCTACCCTCCTGTCTCTTTGTGCTGTTCTCCGGGGGGGGGGACCTGGCTCCCCCCAGGGTGCAGGGAAGCCTTCCCCATCTGACTCACGGCCTCCGAGTGACAGTAGAGTTATTATGTTCATTTTCTCACCGTCTGTGTTAGGCAGAAGGATGGCTCCCCACAAAGATACCCACGTCCTAATCCCCCGAACCTGTGGACATGTCACCTAGACACAAAAGGAGATCAAGGCTGCCAATCAGTTGACCTGTCCTGGATGAGTCAGGTGGGGCTAACCGCACAGTGGAAAAGGAGGAGGAAGAAGGGACAGGCAGAGAGACACACGAAAGAAAGACGAAGGGGCCACGTACCAAGGACCACTATAGCCCCAGGAAGCTGGAAAACACAGAAAAATGGATTTTCCCTTAGAGATTCCAGAAAGGAACACAGCCCTGTGGACACCCAACATCAGCCACGGTGACAGCCACGCCTGCATCGCCCAGGTGGAGAATCTGCTTTATCGCGGATGCTGCCCTGCAGAGCAGAGCGTGGGCAGGAGCAAGAACACCCTTCTAGGAATCTCTGCTCCACCACGATGACTTCTTCCCACAACAAACACAAGCCACCACCCCTCTGGAAGCTCCTTCCACAGGACGTGCCCCAGCCTGGCAGGCTCCACCTGGTCCACCTGCCCCGTGCAGGCACAGAATCAGTGGGGCCGTGGGGCAACGCTGGCAGGTGGGCAGGAAGAGCCCACGACAGAGAGGAGGCGGCAGGCTGCTCCAAGTGGCCCGCCTTTTCCTGCCCGCTCTCCGGGGAGCTGCTCTTCTCCAGGGGATGGAGACGGCAGGAAGACCCCAAGGCTTCCAGATCCAGGCGTGGCAGGACCCGCAACACCACGAAAGAGTGGAGGGCGGGGCGGTCCAGCGCAGCTCTGAAATAGTGCTGGGGCGGGGGAGGTGCAGGGCCAGCTCAGGAAGAGGAGGGCCGGCTTTCCCTCCGGGTCAGGAGGGCCACAGGACAGTGCGTCAGGCGACCAGGGGTGGAGGGCTGAGCTCACAGGCTTTGCCCTTCACAGAGAAGAGGGGCTGGGCAGGCCGCTCCCAGGAGAGGGCGGGTGGGCACTGGCAGGGCCAGGAGGTCCAGTCTGCATGGGGGGGCTCAGTGTTTTTAGCTTCACACCCAGAGAAACATGTTCACACTCCTTGCTGACCATCGACCCACCCAGGCAGAGCACGTCCCAGTGTCCCTTGCAAGGTTGAGTTTGGGACATGTCCTACCTCCGTACCCCTACAGTACCATCTGCAGTCTGAGCCTGGGCAGGGAGCAGGTGAGGAGCTGCAAGAGTACACCCCCCCTGCCCAAATTCAAGTCAAGAGCTCAGACAGAAAACCTGTCGAGCCCCGTGACAAAGACTGCAAAGCCAGCCAGGTCCACGGAGACCCAGTGGACTGGGAGACAGCGCCAGGCTTTGCAGAGCAGATGATCGGGGGCAGGGGGCTACCTGGTGAGCACCTAGACTGAGAACCTCAAAAACGGGGCAAAAGACACATCTGAGCAGAGCTCAGAGGCCACAGGGTCTGCCCAAGGACACACGGCAAGGTCAGTGACCACAGCGTGCATGTGGCTGCTTCCGACACGTGCACGGCGAGCCTGGGATTCTACAAAAAGCCAGAAACCGCTCACACACACGTGCACCGATTTCTTCTCACAAGACAGGGCTTCGCTTTTCCCCGACTCTCACATGCATATTTTTTTTTCCTCGGTAACCGCTTTACATAAGTGGTCTCCTCTTAACATTTTAATCAATGCAATCTTTTGGCAATCAATTTAAAAGTGATTTTCAGCAAGCGCTATATCTGGAAGTTCTCAGAGAGATGCTGGGACGGCTTCCCGCCTCGAAACACCCAAGTCTTTCGAGCAGTTTTCACGGGGGCGTTCAAGGTGCGGCTCCCGGGGAGGCACGGGAGGTTCTCGCCTGCAAGTGGGGAGCTGCCTGTTTTACGACATTGCCACAAGAGATCGGAAAAGAAGTTCAACCAACCCCCTCCCAAGCCTCTCCCTGACGGCTGGAACACACGGGCCAAGTTTTCTGGGACGTGCGCAGAGCAGCCTTTTCACTGAAAGCTTCCACACCATCTTGTACGGCGTTTCTGGCTGGGGCGGAGCCCAGGGGAATGGAATCTGCCTCCAAAGATCTGGAGCAACCCTGGGTCTGCGGCACAGCCCCCCACCACGGCGCGGCGGCCGTGTCCTGCCACAGGCGCTGGCGTCGCGGACGGCGCCGGCGCAGCAAGGGTGGGCCAGCAACGCGGCGCCCGCCTTACCTGCCTGGCCGTCCCGGGGCCTGCACTGGACTTCCTCCACGCACTCGGCCGGGAACCACCCGGTGTGGCCGCGGGCGCTGCCTTCCCAGAAGCCGCCTTCGCCGATGCTCAGCACTAGAGCGACAGAAAGGGAGAGGAGTTAGTGGGGGCCGGGGGTGGGGGGAAGGGGCGAGCAGCGCAAGGGGGGTCGGGCAGAGGCAGGAGTGCCAGCGTCTCCTTGGCCAAGCCCCGCCCTCTGACCACGCCTCCTTCAGCCAAGGAGGAGGAGGAGGAGGAGGAGGAGGAGGGGCCCTGGCAGAGCGTCCCCTCCAGCCCACAGGTGTCCCTCGCCCGTTAGGTGACGGGAAGAGAACGAAGCACTGACGTCCTCGTGGCCATGCACGTCCCACGCCTCGTGCCAGAGCATTGAGGTCTGCGGCCGCCATGTGGCATCTCTGGGTGTCCCACGTGGGACAGGACAGGGGTGACTGGCTGTCCCCACCACCATTGACTCCGGATATAAACGTGGGGCCACCTCAAAGGGGAGAGGAGACGACGAGGTCACGCCTGCCCCGAGAGCCTGGGGAGGGCCGGGGCAGAAGAGCCAGGGAGAATAGCCGCCGTCCCGCTCGGTCTGGGTCCTGGAACCCAGCTTGAAGAACGAGATCCCAGCGAAAGGCAGAGAAGCAGCCGCGCGATACTGTCTTGACTCCAAACGGAAAGGGCTGATTGACAGGCTCGTTTGGAAGTCCTGGCCCACCGTCGTGCCATGCCGGCTTCATAGTTACGTGGTTGCTGGCAAGGATGGGGGATTTCTTTCCAATTTGTGGTTGAAACAAACCAATCTGCTTAGACAGCAAGGATGGCTGTGTCCTAGCAACCTGTCCTGGAGGACCCTCGTGCACAGCTGGGCAGGTGCGGCCACCCCAGCCTGCAGGGTGGGGGGCTGGCGAGACCAGGAAGAACCATCCCCCCAGCCCGGCGCCACCGTGGTAATGTCAGCTGGAAGCACAAAGCGTATCTGCTCTCACGCTCGGCTGCTGAGCAGGGGTGGGAAACCCAAGCCCAAAGACACCGGGGGTGGGGGAATGTCACCAGGACCCTTCACAATGCCCCCTCGCCCCACTGTGACAAACACTTTGGCCGTAACGGCAGAGCTTGTGGTGGCAATGCAGGAAAAGGGGGATCTTTCTATGTTGGGACTCTGGTGCTGGGGACCCCCCCTCGTACCCTTGGCCCCCCAGATGTGCAATGGAGAATCAATATAATCTCTCCAAGCTCCACGTTCCTCTAAATTACTCCAGATCTGCGGGCACCACTGCGCAAAGAGGGATCAGGGCACCGAAAGTGTTTTCCTCTAGCCTCTTTTTAACCTCAGAGGCCAGATAAAGAACCACTCAGCCCACGACTTTGAAAGTTAATGGAACTGAAAATCCTGGCTTTGTAAGTTCTTGCCTAATAATCCAAAGAAACGACCTTACTGAAATAGACAAGCAGCATCCCAGGTGACCAGGATAATCGTAACCGCCTGAAGCCATTTCCTCCCCAAATCACTGCTGCACCCTGAGGCTCCACTCGGCCTGGCTGCCCAGCACGAAGTCCCAGCAGAGTCCTGAGTCTGAGAGGGTCATCGGAGCACAGCCTGGGGCCACGATGGGGGGTCGGGGACCCGCCCCTGGGCCGTATGAGCTAGTACCCACGTACAGACACGCCCTCCTATTGCCCAGGCTGCGGGCAGGTCATTCTGCTGTTTTACAAGGGTGGGGAGAAGGGACCGAGCAGGTAGAGATTAAAATCTTCTTCGGTGGAAGCTCTGCCACACCTTATCTATGTGACACTTGGGGCAGCTTCTTAATCGCTCTGTGCCTCGGTTTCCTCATTTGTCAGATGTTAGCTCACAGCATTGCTATGTGTAGAACAGGCACATTAGCCAGAATGGGAAGAGGACTGCATCACCCCTGCTCGCTTCCTCCCAACTCCCTCCCCGGGAGAACAATGCACTCTAGCTCCATGTTTAACCTCTACCCAGCACAGGCTCCTGGGCGTGTTCCTGCCGTCAGGAGACCAACAGCAGACGTGAAAGGCTGCTTACAGTGGCGTGAGAGCACGAGAGATTCACGCAACAGAGCAGAGGGGACGCCCTGAAAAGAGTTGTTACCTTCGGGGACATGGGGGAAGAGAAAACAGGATCTGTGCTGAGACCAGATGCAGGACCGGGGATGTGGAGGCCAGGGGCCACTCCTGGGTGTCTGGCTGTGCAAATGGCAGCTGGTGTCCTCTTTGGAGACGGGGAGGAAGAACGTGGGGGTGGGGAGAGGACGTGGAGGCAGGACTCTGGGGTCCCCTTCTGAGCATCCTGTGCCTCCAGCAGGCAGCATTTCACAGGCTCATCTGCTCCTAAGTAGCCACGCGTGAGTCCTGCACACACATGTGCTGGGCCCTGGGGCGCACATCTGGGCTCTCACACTCGCGTTTTTGCCTGCAGGGCAGGTTTCAAATGCTTCCCTGATGGGAACACCTGCATGCAGGTAGGAAGGGCTGCTCCTTACACGGAGAAGACGGAGCTAGGTGTGGCTCCTATTGAAAAGTGAAAGCTTGGCACCCGTGCACCGAGAGGTGCAGGACAAGAGGCGTCCTCTCCATGGTGTGGAACAAGGAAGAGCTCCGGACCGGGAGGCGAGAGACTTGGGTCCACCGCCAGGATGCTGAGGGACCTGGGGCGGGGTCCCCCACTCTCTCTGTGGCCTCACCTTCTCCTTGGGCAGCACAAGAGAGCCAGGCCAGGAGGATTCTGGAATTCCACCTTCCCCACTGCAACCCCCTCGGGCTTCAGATGCACCAGAGAGGGCTCTGTCCCCGGCCCCCAGATGAGCAGGGGAGCAAGGACCCGCAGGACTGGCTCTACCGCAAAGGAGCAGGCGAGGATTGTCCCAGCCAAGCCCGGGGGGCAGAGGCAGGCTGAGAAGCAAGGCGGGGGCAGGGCAATGACTGAAATGGGTCTCAAGAGGCTGAGGAAGCTCCAGGAGAAGAGGCAGGTGCTCCGAAGGGCAGGACAGAGAATGGGGTGAAAGCACCATGCCCAAAGCATTGCCACTGGGGGGGGGGGGGCACGTACAGCATGGTCTGGGGCCCCCATGAACCTTGCAGGAAGTGAGGACCGTCCCCAACGCTATGTCCATTCCAGCATAGACGATGCCACTCCCCGACAAAGACACACAAGTTCGCTTGCAAACTGGAAATCAACACTAACCCCCTGCACTGGATCAGCCGGGGCAGAGGCCACTGCCCGGCACCCTGCTGTGCTCCGCCTCCTCCTCCCACAACAGGAGTGAGACCCAGTGTTGGCCACAAGGGGTCCACGCCAGCCCACCCCGCCTGGACATGGAAACCAGCCAGGCCCCTGAGGAGCTGGGAGGACCTGACACCCACCCTTTCCCCTGCCCTGCACCACACTTCCTTGTTTGGAATGCAGCCCTGGGCCGTCTTCAATTTCAAGCCACGCAGGGCTTTCTGTATGTCTGTGGTCTTCAGTTTAAACGCGGCCAGGACTTACGTGGGCCGGGGCTCGGTGGCCGGCGGGGGGCGGACGCCTGCAGGAGCAGCCTGGGGAGGCTCCTGAATGCCTGCTGCCCTGCCTCCTCCCGGGCCACCCTTGCTCTCGCTCTGTCCCCTCCTGCCAGGCTCGGCGACCCCAGGGGCGCCACCACACCCAAGTCCCAAGTACTGAGAGCATGCAGGTCTCCCCTGGGCTTCAACTGTGCCGAGCCCTGGCATAGCAAATGCTCCCCAAACTGAGCATGTCCTCTTGGGAATGGAAGATGGCCTTGCTGGCCACCCCCGGCGGCCCAGAGCCACCTTGCCCCACTGCCCCCCTTTATACCCAGACAACCCACCAGGGAGTTCTCCAGATGCCGACCCTGCTTCCATGCCCCTCCTGCCCGGGTGATGAGGCAAGCCCCCCGCCCCCCATCAACCTGCCTCTAAGTCCCCCCAAGGCTGGGCTCTCGACTGAAGAGGTGCCCAGAGGGGAGGGGGCTTTCTGCGGCACACACAGCACCTGGTGTCCACGGCTGTGGGCCTGCGGCTGAGTGTCCCCAGCTCTCAGGAATGTCCTCACCTCAGGGAATGGTCCTCCAGCCCCCCAATTGGCCCCCTCACCTCCCCAGCCAGGCCGGCGGGGCGGGGCACGCTCTGGGCTCTGTCTGTCCTGCCGTCTTGTGCTCAACGTCCTGTCCCCCAGCCCTACTCCTTCTAGCACTTTCCACACTCTGCTTACAGGTCACCTGGTTTGAGAAGCTCCCATCATACCTTAGGGCTGGGTGAGGGGCTCTCCCTGGGGACCCGAGCACCCTGGCATTTGCCGTGCTGTGTCGTGGGCTCATGTTTCCTGCCTACCAGGGTGGGAGCCCCCCGCAGGCAGGGACAATAACGAGGCTTCCTCAGGCCCCCACATGGCCTGGCACTGCAGGGGTTCACTGTGTGTCTGCAAATTAACCCCCAAACGGGCACCATCACTGTGTTATGTGCTGCGCCAGAAGGCAGAGGGGGTGTGGCGACTCCCAGGGAAGGGACACGTAGCGGCCCAATCCCAAGCAATGGGAGACACGAGACAGCTGCTGGTCTGGGAAGAGAAGCAGGATGGAGGCATCAGCGTGAGAGGATGTGGGGCCCAAAGCCCACACTCCACAGCTCAGAAAGTGCAGGTCGTGTGCACATCCACCCTCCCACCCACCCATCCTTCCATCCCCCCACCCATCCACTTTGTCCGTCCATCCATCCATTCATCCACCCACCCGCCCATCCTTCCATCCCCCACCCACCCATTTTGTCCGTCCATCCGTCTATTCATCCACCCACCCGCCCATCCCATTCATTCATTGATCCATTCACGAATCCGCCCGTCCGTCCGTTCATCTGTCCCTTTCCAAGCCCTGTGCCACGTGCTGCCGAAACAAGAACAGGAAGCGGTCCTGGACTACGAGGGGTCCGCGATATGTCACAGTCGGGAACACGGCAAAATCACCTGGGGAGCTTGTAATGTTCGGATTCCAGCCCTGTCCTTGGAAGCTCCGACTCTGCGGGTCTCGGGAGGGCGGGAGGGCTGCGTGTTTACTGAGCTCCCGGCGTGGCCCAGACGAGGGAGCTGGGGCAGCACAGGCTGAGACGGCGCTCGGGAGCTCGGCCCTGCACAAGAACTACCGGGGCGGGAGGGAAGGACGTGCCAGGCACAGGCAGGGACAAAGAAGAGCCCTAGAAGTCACAAGGAAGGAGGGCCACTGGGGGAACGGAGTAGGTCCTCCCTGCTCTTGGACACCCCTTGTGTCAGGAGAAGGCGGGGGCATGCTTTCCCAGGTACCCGGCATCCACCGTCCACTGGGACATTAACCTCTGCCCCTGTGGAGCTGAGTGGAAAAGAGGCAAACAAAGTGAGACCAGCGTTGGAGCAGGGAACTGCTGTGTTACTGGCAGGACCCCAGGGCCACCGAGGCCTATCACAGCCGCCCTGCCCACCTGCCGCCCAGGACCCAGCTTCCCCTGCAAGGAGCGCGTGCAGTTCTCTGGAAGCCCTGCCATAGCCCCTGCCCCTGCGGTCAGGAAGCTGGGTCTGCTGCACCCCTGCGGTGGCTCCTCTGAAGTCAAGGGGACAGATGCCTGCAAGGTGACCATGGCCCCCCAGGCAGAGATCATCTCAGCCTGCCTGTCACTAAGCACTGCCAGGCAGGCAGCAAGGATGGCAGGGCCACCACGGAGACAAGGTGCTGACAGCTTGGCAGGAAGGAAGCGCAGGCTCCCAGCCGACAGCACAAAGGGGCCCCGTGCCAAGCGTGTGCAAATGGCCTGCGCGGCCCACGCAGCTCTCTGCTGAGAACAGCAGTCCTCCGCGATCACCCTCTGCCGTGTGAGCTCTGGAGCTGAGCTCCATCATCTCCGTTCTCTCCGGAGACAGGCCCGGCGCCCCGCACGCCCCATACCTCCGCACGCCTCCAACGAGGGGTGGGCTGCGGGCTGGGTCTGGAGTTTGGGGAGGGGGTTGCTGGGCCCGAGCGTGCTGGTGTGGGGTGCAAAGGAAGCAGCCAGGCCCAAGGAGAAGCCAGGCAGGCCCAGACCCTGGCCATGGCCAGGAGGAGTCACAAGACCGTGCGTCTTTCCTTGTTTGGGGTCATTCTGTGGGAGCACAGGGAGCTGGGGACACTCCGGGGCCCCCAAAACTGCTGGGGAAAAGGCGTGGGGTGCAGATTTGTGTGCACCGTCTCCCATGGGGGTCTCGCCCACCCTGGGCCCTCTGAGTCCTGGGTCTCCATCTCCGCCCGGCCCCGCCCTCCCCGTGGCCCGAGGACACACCTGGCACCAGCAGCTCAGTCACACCAGTCTCCTCCCTTCTCCGCTCCTGTCACCATCCCTGGTTTATGGAGAAGGATGCAAAGCCCCAGGGAGAGTGACTGGCCCTGGTCACCAGGTCACCAGGTCACCAGGGGGTTTTATAGGCTCCTGCCGGAAGGCTTGGCTCTGATCGGGAGACCCACATGGGCCTGGGGCGTGCGCGGCAGGGGGATCCTCGGGGGATGAAGGCCCAGGGCTATGGGCCAGGGGCTCAGCCGTTTTGGAGCCTGGGCTGGGTGGGGAGAACCGGGTGATGTTTTGGGGTCACATGGCAGAGGGGGCCACATGGTGGAGGTCAGAGCGGGTTGCAGCCTGTGCTGAGTCTTCACACGACCCCCACCTCGCTGGCCTCCCAAGCAGAGACGCTGACTCAGGGGGCTGCCTGACCGGGAAAAGCTGCGGTTATTTTCGGCATAGCTACCCAGTGCTAATTAGGCAATAGCTAATTAGCAGCGCTGGGGACCTGCCCCTTCCCCAGGTCTCTCAGAGCAGTGTCTGCTCCCGCTCCAGTGATGGCTGAGCTTGAGTTCCGCTAGAGGACAGACACAGGCCTCTGCGGGGTAGTGCAGGAAGGTCCCTGAGCCTGGGCTCCCCCAGCCTCCACTGCCCCCCTGCCCTGGCCCGGCCCTGCCAGCTCCACTCCCAGGCTGGGAGGAGCTCACAGAAGCAGCATGGCCACAGTACCACCAGCTCAGCCTGACGCGGGCCTCCCGGCTGCACCCCCCGGACGCCCTCCTGCACCCCACGGGCCCGTGGGAAGTGAGGGGAAAGCACAGCAGAGGCGGCAGGCACTGGGCAGGCGGTTCCCCACGCAGCCCTCGGGGCGGACGGAGCTATAAAAACAGGCTCCGGTCCAGGGAAAGCCGTGCACTCGGCAGCCGCATTTTAAACACCATTAGTGAATGAGGTGCCTCGCTGGCCACCAGCCAACCACGTCTAACACGGCAGCGACCTGGACACCACTGGCGAGTCACCACACCGTCATGTCACCGGACATGATCAACGTGCGGGGAAAGGAGTCTACTCTGTGATTTTATTATTAAAGTTCAAAATGGTAGGTCGTGTCCATTTTTACATTTATAATTTCGAAACCAACAAAAACACCATGCTAGACCATATCGAGGCAATTCCGGCACTTTCGCATATGGCTGCGATGGACAGAGACCGTAATGGGCACCACCACTGAAAAGAGCTCTAAACCCGAACGAGATGCAAAGAGCAGCCGCCTGAAGGGGCTGGAACCGAACAGAAGCAGCCGGACTCTGGTGGGGACACAGCCGTGCCCGGAGCAGAGGGGAGGGAGCTACACGAGAAAGTCCCTTCTCCGCGGCCTTTAACCTGGCTGAACAGTCCGCACGGCAGGGCCAGCGCTGGACGGGCACACGGGAAAACCCTGCAGCGCGAACAGCCTGGAGAGGTGGGAAGGTGGAGCCAGGAAGCCACGCACTCCAAAGAGCGTGGGGAAGAGGTCCTCACAGGGACACAGGCGGAGAGGGGGCTGCAAACTCACACCCCTCTCCCGCCTCCCCGACAGACCCCTGAACAACACATGCACAGAACGGGCTAGAGGTGGCTCAGCTAAACCTGCGGGACCTGACCAGGCATATACAGCAGTCACCTGAGCAAACTGCTGCAAGGACAGGAAGAATCTCATGGAGGAAGAATATCTGAAACTGGAATCTCTACGACGCAACGTGCTGATGTGCAGAACACAACAAAAAATCACCAGACACGCGAGGACCCGAGAGAAGGAAACGTGTTCTCAAGAGAAGAGAATCAACTGAGCCCGGACCCAAGACGAACCTGACGTTGGGACCGACACACAGGGACTTCAGAGTGAGGCTTACGCCACTCTACGACATTGTCGAACACGTGCTTTCGGTGAGCAAAACGTCTCAACAGGAATAGGAGGTCTTGGCAAATAAAAGGAAACAATAGTATAATACAGACGGAAACTCTAGCAAACACAAAAGTTCTCAGTTACAAAACTCACTCACTAGGCCTGCCCCGACACCTCATGGATGGATTTAATAGCTGAAGGGACGTTTCAAAGGAAGGAGGAAGTGAACTAAGACACAGATCGATAAAAATGATCTAGCGTGAGGAAAAATTGATTGAGAAAAAAGTAAATAGGGCTCCGGGGGCGTGTTGGATGCTATCAAACGATCGTATACGTGCAGCTGGAATGTCGGAAGTCGAGAGACAACGGGCTCTCCCTTCCCCAGACTAGTCCGGGTAAAGTCGGCCTGATTAGCGCCTGGAACAGGGAGGGGAACTGAGTCAACCACCACAGCGGCCACTCGGCGGGGAAGTCAGGATTCGAGCCTGCTCTATCGACCCCAAAGGCGCACGCTCTCCACCCCGTGCCAAGCATCTCCTGGAAGGCCGTCCTCCAAGCGCGGAGCCCAAGCTCGCTGGGCACACTGTGCTTTTCCTGCTCCGCCCAGCAAGCTCCAACCACCTGGGAGGCCCCTGCAGCCCACAGCTGCTCTTCTCTGGCTCCCTCCCGTGGAGCTTCAGCTGAGGCCTGAGACCCCCCACCACCAACTTCCCTCTGACCCGCACACACCACCACGGCGTCCACCTCCTGAGATGCCTCACATCACATACCTCGTCTCCCCGGGAAAGAAACCGTCGCTGGCTCCCTAGTACCTTGGGAACGAAGTCTACCTCCCTGGCCTGGCATTTATGGCGGCCTCAGGAGGCTCTTTAGCCACAGCTCCCAGGGTCCTGCTCTGGAAATCTCTTCTCCCAAGCCGGTAGACGTCCTTCCTTTGAATGCTGCAGGCCTCCAGGCCTTGGATCACGTCGGACCGTCTACCGGGGCACCCCAAACCGACCCATGCTAGGCCTGCCCCGACGCGGTGCCTCCTGGCTCTAGGCGGTTTCTGGCTGGAGAGGAGCTCTGGCCATCAGTGCCCCCGTCCGACCCTTCCCTGCACTTCCCACAGCGGAATCTCACTCCAGACGTGCACTGCGTGTGTTGTCCTTCCTCCCCGACAGACCCGGCACTGGGGACAGGGCACTCTGTCCCCCACTCCTGCCCTCCCAGGGCTCTGTAATTCCCATGGGGGCCCTGCAGAGGAGACGCCTTGGACAGTCCCCCCAGCAGGCCAGCTGTGGGGGTGGGAGGTAAGTCAGAAAAGCCTTGGGGGCCCTGGCCTGCCCCAGAAGCAGAGGATGACCGGCAGACACTGACCTTTGACCCTGTCGCCGCGGTGAAGGGGGATCTCGCCATCGACTTGGGGCTGGTATGGCTTGACGACGACGAACAGCCTTCCGGGCACGGCGCTGTAGAGCTTCCTCTTGGGCCCCGGGTACTCGAAGGCCGAGAGCGGGTCCTTGTTGGCACCAGGGGCGAAGGGCGACCTGGGTGGGGCAGAGGGCAGAGAGAGGAGGTCAGAGGCCACGATCCGGGAGCTGCGGCCAGTGGGCTCAGCAAACGTGGCTGCACCTCCAGCTGCCACGCCGTAACTGGAGACGCCGGACAGTGACGGGGACGTGAGCAAGCCAGGGGCTGAGTCTGTGGTGGAAAGACTTAAGTGGATCCCGCAATCCCACTTCCGGGTGGATCCGCGGAAGAACGGGAGCCTCAGAGAGACGCCTGCGCGCCTGCGCTCATAGCAGCCGTCCCCAACAGCCAGGGCAGGAGCCGCCCAAGCGCCCATCGACGGGTGAATGAACAGACAAAGCGCCGTCCCCCCAGACGGCGGGATGTCACTTGGCCTTCAAAGGGAAGCAGATGCCCGCACGTGCTACGGCACGGACAGACACGGACGGCAGTCACATTCGTGGACACAGAAAGTAGAAGGGTGGCTGCCAGGGGACGGGGAGGGGACGGGGAGTAAGTGTCTAATGGGGACAGAGTTTCGGTTTGGAAGGTGAGAAAGTTCTGGAGACGATTGGTGGTGCTGTCCGCACGGTGATGTGGATGTGCTGACCACCACGGGACCACACGCTTGCGAATCGTTCAGGTAGCAGGTTCTGCGTTACGTGCATTTAACTGCAACCGAGGAAGAAAGACGGGTGGAGGAGCCGTCAAGGCGAGCCCTGGCCGCCTCCCGCCTGTCCCAGAAGACGTTTTGTCCGCCTCACCGTGAGCACGCATCCCGCCAGCGAGGAGACACCAGAACCTTCTATCAAAGCGGGTCGGGATCGTGGCGCACCACCCACTCCTAGACCCACTGGGGACCCACGCGAGAGGAACTTATATCCGCTCTTGCTTTGTGCCATCGATTTGGCAAAGGGCCTGCATCTCCAGGCCGCCTTCCGCACCTGACTGCAAGACGCGCCTTACCTGAGCCCACGGCACGACGCGCGAGACAAAGGCTTTCACAGATAAGCCCACAAAAGGGCTTTTCCTAACGACACGGCTGGACGGGAGGCAAGGGCTGACTTCCCAGGACAGGGAGAGAGGGCACACCCACCGCCCGCCCTGGGCCGGTGAGACCCAGGGGGCATCACCTCGCTGCTTGTCTCAGGAAACACAGCCTCACGGAGGAAGCTGCAAGGGATTGCAGGACAACGTTCTAGAGTGTTCTGCTCGGCAAGAAAAGCAAAGCGTTCACCTGTGGCTGGTGTCTTCTAAGAGGGCATCCAGCCTCGAGGACGTGAGTGGAAGATTAGTATCACCTGGCACGTGATGGAAGGTTCCAGAATTGGAAGCACATCTGAGTCCAGGGAGAGGGTGGACACATGCCACGAATCTGTGCCCACGAGAGTGGGGTCCCCGACTGCGTCTCCTCTCAAACCACAGGTGCTGTGGCCTCTGGGACCAGGGAGGCAGCCTCAATCATTGCAGGAGGACAGGAGGTGGGCACGGGCACCAGCGCACAATGAAACAGCCTTGCAGGGAAAATTCCAGAGGCTGATGAGACCGGGCACTTTCGGTATTTGACGCAAGCGCCCACGTGCCCTTTGTACCATAAACGCGTCTGCGCTTGGCAAATCCACAGAAGCGCACAGCGCCCTGCTCTGTCATGCTTCTTGCTTTCTACTCGGCACCATGACCGTGAGGTCTGGCCACGGGACCCGCGTGGATGTGTTTGAGGAGCCCGGTCTGCGGGTGAACTCGGCCGTGGCAGGCTCAGTTCCAGCCGACTGTCCACTGCTGGCAGGGGGAGCCCGGGACCGAACATGAGGTCTGTCCGCCTGACCCCACAGTCCAGGACTGTCCTTGGCCTACGTGGGGCACAGACAGGGTAGGACACTGGGCTGAGCCACCTGACCTCTTCTATGACATGTGGGAGGCTCGGACACATACCTGGGCTCCCAGAACACTGGGCGGGGGCAGGCCAAGGGCAGCTGGGACTCACCTGTCCCCAGGGACGACATTCCCCCTCCCAGGGTTTTCTCCAATCTAGTCAAAGCCATAGACACGGAGGCCACAGACTCCTGGGCGCACAGGTGGCCCGTGTGAGCTGTCAGCTCCAAGCAGACAAGGTGGAACCCACAGGCAGGGCATGGCCTCACCACACCCCTCCTTGCTCGACCCGCCACACATCAACCTGCGCAGCCAGGAAAATCCACCCTGGGATTGTCCCAAGAAGCCGCGATTCCCCTTCGATGATGCCGTTATCCCTAAACACCTCAGAGCTCCTGCAGTGGCAACTCCTGCAAGAGGCAGGTCGTGCGACCCCCCGTCCCCAGGTATGGCTCAGCGAGCCAGGTGCCTGCAGAGAGGAAGGACGCCAGGCCCTGCCTGCGCCATGAGAGGGTGCGGGAGATGCAAGGACAGCCTGCCAGGTCCCCACCGGCGAGGCCCACCAAGGCGTCTGCGCGCCCTGGCATCTCGGCTCATTTATTCGATCACCTCAATGCGGGCTGACGCGGGCTGGACCGGCCCAGGACGGAGCGCAGAGAAACGAGCCCAGGGAGAGACGACCGCCTCCTCCGGCCCTGAGCGTCCCCGGCTGTCTGCCGTCTGGCTCCCAGGCCGGGGCGGAGGTGAGTCCTGGCAACCAAGGGGACGCGGTTCTCTGCAGTAGCACACGTGTCCCCGGGGGCACCTGACTATTCCACCTGGCGCCTAGGGGTCAGGAGGGGCGGTGGCTCTGGGAGAGCACAGCACCCCAGGGTGAACATTCCTCCTCTCCCCAGCCCCCCCCAGACAGAGCACCTGGCCCAGCCCTAACGCACCTGCCCACACCTGCCTCAGGTGTCACATGCAGGAGGCAGCAAGGCCGGTAGCCACGTCGTGGCTCTGTGGACAGTCTGAACCACCACTCACTCCCGGGGGCATCTGTGTGACCTTGAGTGAGTCACTTTATTTCTCTGAACCTTGATTTCTTCATCTATAAAATGGGTGGAGGAGGGCAGAGGCTGCTGGGGACTAACGAGTGTGCAGAGGGCTCAGCTCCGAAAGGCAGCTGCTGTCTCTGTCTGCCAGGCTGAAACACAGGACTGTGCGGACACTGTCAGAACGGTTACAGGTGGGCTCTGATGCCCCTGGGCTGCACGGAGCCCCGGACAGCAAGCAGACTGCCAGGCCAGCTGAGCCCCACAAGTGCTGAAGCACCAGGAGAGTGGTTGACCCGAGGGGGATCGGGTGAGGCACAGTCCAGAGGGAAGAGCAGCAGGGACCCTGCTGATGGTGGCCGGGCAGGGCAGGGGGTAGGCCGTGTCACAGGGCTTGCAGGGGCCGCTCTCAACTGCTGTTTGGCTGATGTAGCAGCTGCTCAAGCCAGGAGCTTGGAAACAAGTGGGGAGCCCATCTTCTTAGAGGACCCCCACTCCAACACGGCTTCAGCACACAACCCCAGGCCCCACTGCCCATCTTCAACAACAGCCTGATGGGGAGCTGAGCCCACCCAAGCTGAGAAGTCATCCTTATCATCAGAGTCAGAAACCAACCCACTCACCTACCCACCCATCCACCTACCTACCCACCCATCCACTCACCTACCTACCTACCCATCCACTCATCTACTCACCCCTCCACTTGCCTACTCATCCATCCATTCATCCATCCTCTCACCTACCCACCTACCCAGCCTCCTACGCATCCATTCATCCATCCATCCATCCATGCAGCTACCCATCCACTCACCTACCCACCCATCCACTCATCTAGTTACCCATCCACTTGCCTACTCAGCCATCCATTCATTCATCCTCTCACTTACCCACCCACCCAGTCTCCTACCCATCCATCTATCCATCCATCCATCCACTCACCTACCTACTCATCCACTCATCTACCCACCCATCCACTTGCCTACTCATCCATCCATTCATCCATCTATTCACCTACCCACCCACCCAGTCTCCTACCCATCCATTCATCCATCCATTCATCTACCCACCCATCCACTCAACTACCCAGCCTGGGCAACACGGGAGGAGACCCTGTCTAAAAAAAAAAATGCATCTTTGCTCAAAGTTGTCTTATAATAGAAATTATTTACAAAAAGAAAGAAAGAATAATATGGCAAACACCTATTTATCCATACATATTTTGATCAAGTTTCAACTTTTTAAATATTTGCTTCAGATATTTCTTTTGTAAGGAAACGAAATGTTATTGATCCTGAAACCCTTCTGTATCCCTCCCAAGCCCATTCACCTCTCTCCCTCTCTAGAAGTTACCATCATGCTGAATTTGTATGTATCATTTCCATGCCTACTCATCCATCTGTTCATCTACCCACCCATCTACTCACCTACCCACCTATCCACACACCTACCCTTCCATCCGCACACCATCTATCCACCGCACCAGCCCACCCTCCCACGCACCTACCTTATCATTGATCTGAACATTATCTGTCACTCATCTGCCCAAAGTTCAGAAGGGCCCTGCCTGAAGCCCAGCTGGCCACTTGCTATCAGTCACTGGGCAGGTCAGCTACCCTCTCAAAGCCTCACTTCCCCACTGGACGTGGGGTGGCCAAGAGAGCCCTCTCTGCACGGGTGTGAGCTCCACCCCACTCCCACCCCACCCTGCTGCAGCTGGGACGTGGGAGACAAAATGCCCACCTCGCCCAGCTGGCTTCACTGGTGCCGGAGTGTGTGTGTCACGGGAGAGGGACGTCAAAGGGCTCCCGTCTGGACAGCACTCCAACCCGAAGCTCCGTGCTGTCATCCTCTTTGGGGTCAGCTCCCTGGCCCATCGACTAAGGGCCCAGGAAGGCCTTGTCTAACCGGAAGGACGGATGCTCTGTAGACCAGAGCACGGCTGTGGTCCTGGGCACCGGCAGTGACGTGCGGTCCCACAAACGCTAGAGCACCTTCTTACTCACTGTTAACTTGAACCCCACAAAGTCCCCCGAGGCGGCAGTTGGAACCGTCACCGCCACGTTGTAGGTGGGCACAGTGGCTCCACTACGGTGCCTGGGCACGACAGTGACGAGCTGGCACTCACGTCCCGG